CTTTAAAGGTTTAGTGACAAAAACTTTAAGAATCTGATAAGGAGGAAGTGATTCATTGATCGTTTGCTAAGGCAAAGTCACTGAGGGCGACTCTCAAGAAGCCATTTTTTAGTAAGAAAAACTGCTGAGAAAAAGAAAAGGAACTTGGCTAGAAATGTGTGATGAAGGACGAGTCGATTTTAAAGCATGAAGAATGACGGAGGGTCTGCAGCTAACTGTGAAAAACCAAGGAGGATCCATCAGGGTTTTATAAATATGTTTCAGTCGCTGGTCTGCAGATCCATAATGCAGTTTTCCTGTTTTAGAAAAATATCTTCATATTTCCATTAAAGATGCTCAATAAAAGCTTGTCCTTTTAGTTGATTTAATCCATCTTGTCACACGCTACATTGATCTCTGTTACAGAGTAACGTGCTGGAGCGTGCGGTGGACTGGATCTTCTCTCACCTAGACGACCTGGACTCCATGGAGGTGTCCGAAGCCGGGCGCTCGGCTGCAGAGAGCGAGGGCGGGAGGGATCCTCCACCTGGACCTCGCGTCAGAGACGGACCAGGAAGTGAGTTTATGGGAGACTGGCGGTCCGAATTACCCGCCGTCTCACTCTGCAGAAGAAAAATTACAGGTTAGCTTTGTTTATTTAATGATGAAGCCTAAAGGTTTTCTTCCTTTTCAGAGTACGAGTTGTTTGCATTCATCAGTCACATGGGGACGAGCACGATGTGTGGACACTACGTCTGTCACATCAAGAAGGACCAGCAGTAAGTTTCTGTCTAAATATTACCAACTTTCAAAGGTTTTTTTAAATAAAACTAAGGTTAGGCATCAGGTTGGAATAAACCCATTTGAGGGAGACCAGTGATTAAATTAAATCTTTATTTAGAACAGTTAAAATGTCAGGAATAAAATAAAATAATTCAGAAGAAAACAAAAAATATAACATAAATAAAAACACCTTTAACAGCCAGTTTGGTGGATGTAGGCATAGGAAAGGCTTTATCTGTTCATCCTCTAGCAATGAGCTCAGAAAGGTTGGTGGCTTTAACTGACTCACTGACTCTATGGTTACCTAGCAACTCAGTCATTCTGTGGTTACCTAGCGACAGCTAGTTCAGTAAGTTGCCAGCAGTTTCATCACGGTGCTTCTTCACTGTTAAAAAAAAAAAAAACACTGATGTGGAGTGAAAACTGTATAAAACAGGATGGTTCACCCTATCATTCTGGCAATATTCCAGATATTTAAAACAAAAAATCAATCAATTATCTCTCGACTGATATGGAAAACTTATGAGTTATATTTTCCAGCCATATCCTCCAGCCCTAAATTATCAAAACTATACACTTCACGTATTTTATTTTAAGTTTTATTTTTCTAAATTGAATTGACTTACTTAATAAAATGAACTACTTCTTTATAATTGTTCTGTAAATATTTGTTAACTTCCTCAGAGTAAACAGTCCTGGTAAAATCTGAGAATCATGTAAATTTTAAGTTTGCACAGTAGATGGCACCAAAGTTCAGATAAAAAAAAAAAAATCCTCACAGAGTGGCTTCCTGGTCGAGATTTAAATACATAATTTCTTGTTCATTCGCCTCCACTGTTTCCATTCTTGGTTTTACGTACTTTGAAAAGCCTCAGCTGGTGTTTTACTCTCCAAAATGATTCATCTGGCGATAATCAGATTGTTGAATGACTCTGTATGTATTTATCTTTCCACAGATGGGTCATCTTTAACGATCAGAAGGTTTGTGCTTCAGAGAAACCTCCCAAAGACCTGGGCTACCTTTACTTCTACCGCAGAGTGGCCGACTGAGGCGGACCAGCGTTTCACTCCAGGAGAAGACGACGCCAACAAAACCCACAACAGCAAGCTCTTAGAAACGCTCTGGCACGCTTCACAACTGACAAACATGTAAATAAATAAGTCCCTCAGATTGCTTATAAACACACTTTAATAAATCGGTGCAAATGTACAGATAAGTATTGTTGGGGTGGGATGAGGGGGTTGCTGTCTGTCTGTAGCCACTGATAACAAACCGCAGGCCTGATGGAGGATGAACTCAGCAGAGCAACTCTGAGTCAAAGCGAGAGCTAATCCAGACGTGTTAAAGCGCAACATTCGGGTTTTACCCAGACAAAATATCCACCGCGTTCGGAAAACTCGAACAAACGCCCCAAACATGCGTCCGACTCGGACCGCTGAGCTCATGATTGATACGTTTACGCTAATCTGTCCCGACTATTGATTTCCACTGCCATCAGGAGTCACTGCCCGTATTCACCGACATGTGTGACGCTTTCAGGCCTTCGTTTCTTGTTTGACTGGAACATTGCACCACTTTAGTTAGACTCAACTTCCTCTCCCTGTTTAAGTGCTAAAAACACTCATAATAAGAAAAAGAAGCGATAAATCAACATGTCTTTCATAAGCGTCCGGTGAGGGTGATACTTGGGTGACTCGTGTTTTATTTTGTTCTTATTTTGAAAACAAATGCTTTGTTACTTCTGCTGTGAAAAATAAAGATTTCTCTCTGTCAACCTTGTTCTTCTGTGTCTTTAAACTCCTCATTTCCTGGATTTAACATCCATGAAACATTTAATCGTTCTATTCTTCAGCTCCTGGAGTTGTGTGAGAACAGCTTACAGAATGCCAGGCCTCGATTGTGAGAAAACTCACAGGCGTCAGCAGCAAACCCACTGAGAGCTGGGGTTTAGATTGGCCTACAACTTTCCAAGTGCTGCTTTCTCTTCAGAGCTCTTCCGCCTTCTACACTTTCTGCATCCTTGCACACTTGCTTAGAAGAACTGAACTACTGGGAGGATGAAAAGAGGCTTTTACCCTCAATAACGGCATTAAAGACAAAACGACAACTTTGACTTAAGGTAAGATTAAAACAAATTGTTTTATTTGTTTAGCAAATTTTGAGTATTTTTGGTGTTTTTCCAATACATTTTTATTCGGTTTTGGAGTTTAAACAAAGATAATCTCATAACTTGAATGTTTTACATTCAGATTCTCCATTTTTCTTTCCGGCAAAGTATGAAATCTGCCTAAGTGTTTAGTACATTACATTTTTATTTGGTTTTGGAGTTTAAACAGAAAGACGATCTAATAACTTGAATCTTTTACGTTCATATTCTCCATTTTTCTTTCCGGCAAAGTATGAAATGTGCCTAAATGTTTTGTGCTTTACCAGTTTAATTTTGCTTGATTTAAAAACTTGATGATTGTAGCAAATAATTTATCGATTTTCAGCCCGAACTGATCAGATTAAAATTATATGCAGAGTAACTAATATAAGATTAATATTTTTGCTGCTTTAAAAAAGAACAAAGTACGTATGCAGACTGAAAACCTACTCTGAAACCTTTCAGAGTGTATAATTACATTTAAGAACTTAAAATAGTGCTTTGATAAATTGTTTTAAGATCATTTTTAATTTATGTACATATTGTTTGTTCAGTAAAATAATTTAAAGCTTGTTTTCGATTGAGGATTTGATTGTTTTTGTACCGGAAGCATCCTTAAGGTGCATCACAGTTGCAGTAATTTTAAAAGAGCAAATGCTCTACATGATTTTTACTTTAAGACTATTTCTACATTGTAAGTCAAACCAGCATAAGTTACATGTTTAATGAAAAAGAAAAGAGGAAGCAGGAAGTAGAGAGGAGCTTGGTGGTTAGGGATCACATGTTTGGTAAGGCGCTCTGAAACAGTAGCTGTGTGTCGGTAAAATGGAAGAAGAGTTTGCTTTCACTCTGATCTGCTGCATTCATGTTTCTGTTTTATGGTTTCACCTAAAGAATGAAGACAATCATCTTGTTTGGTTTGGGTGAGTTGGTTTGCCTCTGTAATTTGCTGTATGAATATCTATCAAAGTCCTCTGAAGCTCAATTAAATAATGCTTAATAAATATCTTTTTTCCTTCAGTGCTGGGAGCGCTCTCTGCTGCAGGCAAAGTTTATATCGCAGAGGTTGGGGGCAAAGTCACCCTGCAGTGTGGCGTCACCAGCATAAAATCTAGGCTGGAGTGGAAGCATGATAATCTACGTATACTTGTATTCGAGACAAATGGTTTCATTAACAAAGGTTCCTACAAAATTAGTCACAGCAATGTAATTGTGTGTTTTTATGCTATTAATAGAAATATAATTATGAACTATATCTGTTCTCTGTTAGGATCAAGTGAAATTAAAATGAGGGCAAAGAAATCAAAAGACACAGACATAGAAATCTCCAAAATAATGGAAGGGGATTCTGGAAAGTTTACTTGTGTTGTAGGTCGTTCATCTCATGAGCACCATCTGATCGTAGTTTCAGGTGAGTAACAATTCAGGACACAATAAAACTACAGTCAGTGAAAAACCAGCACAGGTTTACGATTATACTGATGTATTGAAACCATAATTATTATGAATCAGTGGAACAGCAAAGGATGAACAAAGTGGGAATATTCAACATGTTTCTGCTTTTAAAACCATATAAGTTAGTTTTATGAAAAACAGTGGTTGCATTAATTACAACACTCCACTGTTATGAACTAAAGGTTGTATCAGAAAACTATTTAAAAATAAGAGCAGAAGCCAAACAAAGGTTCAGCAATATGTCTTTTTAAACCTGTTAAAGTTGCACTGCTTTTCCACGGCCTACAAAGTAAACTGTGTAAACAATATCCCAGCATTTTGTTTTTACACATTTGGATTTCCCATTGTGCTTGAACATCTCATCGCCTTGGCTTCTGGTTTATAACAGTTTATTGTTACTTAATTAGCAAATAATTGATACCAAAATGTTTTTGGAGTCCGAATAAATGCAAAGTGTCACAAGTGGTTTGACTAGTTTGACTACCTTTAAGTTTCATCCCTAGATAGTCAATTATTAAGGACAAAAAAAGGTTTTAAAAGTTCATTTTTTACTTCTTATCTCAATTAACGCACAATATAAGCATAGACTCTACATGCCTTTGCTTTTCACAATGTCTTTGTTTAGACGTCTTAAAATGTGTTTAGATGCATCAACATTTGTGGCAGCTTTAACATGAGTTCTCCATCTTTTATGATTCTCACTGAATCTTCTTTCTGTTTCTCATCTCTACTAGTCTCTGCTCCCTCTGGTCCTCTAAAGGTTGGCGCTGACGCTACTCTGGAGTGTAAAGCAAATTCTGGAGTGTCAGGTCTATGCCAGCCTGAAGTCAAGTGGAGGAAACCCGATGGTTCAGTTCAGCCCGAATCCAAAGTTGAGTTCAAATCTGTTGCTTTAACAGATACAGGGATTTGGCAGTGTCTAGTGTCCTGTCAAGGGGAGACATTTACTAAAAATGTAACCATCAATGTAGAAGGTAAGAATAAAATATAAGTCTACTTCTTAAAAATATGCTGTGTCCAGAAATAAAAATGTTTTTTTATTCTTTTTTTTCCAGAACCTGTTCCAGAACCAACAACTCCCACATTAGTCAACGATCCCAAAAACCCAAATTCAGGAAATGGGAACGACTCCTCTGGTGAGGACTGAATGTATCACTTGTTCAACCATTTCCTGTTTTTGAGTTTTTCTCGTTTTAATCTGGTCTGATGTTTTTGCTCAACCAGGTGGCGTCAGAGGACCTGAGGACCCAATGATGCTGCTGGGCCTGGTTTGGTGGATTTGGGTTGCAATCGGAGCTGGAAGCCTGGTAGTTATCATCCTGGTCATCGTCATCATTGTCATGCACAAGAGGAACAAAAGAAAGAAGGTACATGTGGAAAGCCAGGATAAATCTGTACTTTTGTTTCTTTTTGCAGGTGGGTAGAGCAACCAAAAATATACTGAAGAGTAGCATTACTGCAACATATTTTGACTCAAGTAAAAGTAAAATGTGGCCTTCCAAGAAATTACGCGAGTAAAAAAGTATTTGCTAAAAGAGTCTACTGAAGTATTGAGTGACTGATCATCAATCAATTCATGTTTAGAAATTACATCATGAGACGGAACAAAATGTAAAGTTATGCAGAAAGTTGCATAAATAATCACAAGATATCAAAATTGACTTGGAAACTATTTTTCAAATCAATTTCTTTCAATATGAAACTTATGAAACTTTAATAAAAAAAATGCAATGTGTGTCTGGTGAATTTTTGGTTAAACCATGTTTGTTCCTCGTTCGGTTATTCACAGTAAGTTGAGTATCCAAAAGTTTTATTCAACTATTAGTAGCGATACTTCATAATAAAATTATTCAAGTAAAAGTAAAAAGTTGCCATCCAAGTAAGAGAAAAAGTATTTGGTAAAATGGTTTTTCAAAAACTGGGTAATTGATCAAAACATCAATCACTCAATATTAAGAAATGACATGATCAGATGGAAGAAAATATAAAGTTATTCAACAAACATCGGCATTTTAAAGATCAAAATGAAAATAATTCACATAAATGACAAAATGATAAAATTAGGCAAATCAATTTCTTTCAATGTGAAACTCATAAAAACTGCAGGTTTGTGTTTGGTGAATTTTTGATTAAAACAAGCCTGTCAGTTACTCACACTATCCAGAAATTTTACTCAAGTAAGAGAAGTGATACTTCATAATAAAGTTAAAAAGTAAAAGTACAGTGTAGTAAAAATACTCCTAAAAGTATTTAGTTTTTCCAAAAAGGTTACTAATGTAAATGTAACTAATTACTACTGAACTCTGCTTTCTTTTTTGTTTACAGAAGAAATTTCTGAGGATGAAGAAAGCCCAACTCTCTCAGAAACCAAAGAAGTACTGCCAGTGTGTGCGGTAAACGCTCCCAGCTCACTTCTATCTATTAAAACATCCCTTTGCCCCGGTCTCCATTAATCTCCTTCTGCTTTTCTAATAGACTCCGCTCATTTTGTACAAAATGACCTTCGCTTTTCTCTGCTCCTTTTCGTGAGCGCTTCATTATTTTTGCCGTAATTAGTGTGGAAACTTCTCTTTACTCTCTTTATCACAGCCAAACAGCTGCAGCAAAGCCGCAGCAAGGACGCCGGAGAGAGAAGCCGTCAGCCCTGCCGCTTCAACCTCTGCTGCAGGAGTGACATGAAAGAGGGAGGAAGGAGAGATAAAGAGAGAGAGAGATGGAGATAAAGAGAAGGAGTGAACAGCAGAGGGTGAATGTGGCATGAATGTAAATGAGCGTCTGAATGAAAGTATAATCAAATGTAATGCTGTCAGCACTTTGAGCTTTTTCAGCAAATACTGTATAGGCGGTGATCATTGTAATTTTAGCTTTAACATGTATTTTTTTAATGCTCTTAGTGTAGATCAACATGCTAGTGATAGCCATCATGCTAATGTTAGCATCTTAGCTAAAATGAGCAAATTTGAGCTCATTTTGATCTTAAAGCACAAGCTAATTGATTTAAAGCTGCAGTGTTTAACTTTCATTTAAAAAAAAAGTTTAACTTGTTAAAACTATAACAAGTTTTAACAAGTCGTGACAAGATGAGATAAACCTTGAAAAGAAAGATCTTCTCCACCCACTCCTGACCACAAATAACCAATCAGAGCCAGGAGGCGGGTCTCAGTAATGTCAATCATCCTCGTGTACTCAATGTGCTAAAGGTGGAGAAACAACTTTACGTTACAGGAAAACCATTAATCTGTGTCATCAGTGGCTATGCTAACTAGCCTAGCTTTCACAACAGTCTTTGCTAGCTGCAGATTAGCAGAAAGCAAGGGGAGATAAGCAGTGTCACATGGAGGATGATTGACAGCACTAAGACCCACCTCCTGGCTCTGATTGGTTCTTTCTAGATATCAATAGGAGGGGGCAAAAAAGATCTAATTTTTTTTATAGATTTTCAGTCTCATACTGTCACAATGCTATGACAACAAATATGTTAAAAATATATATTTTTTATAAGTTACATACTGCTGCTTCAAAGTTAAGACTCTTGCTGTCTTTTTTCAACCTTCATCTTTTTGTTTCCGTTTCCTTCACCTTAAGAATTTGCAAGATAAACATGTGAACATTCCTTTATTAATGCTTCATGCTCGCATATTTTATCACTTGACACGTGATTGTTCATTTGTAAACGTATTGCCCTTTCTTATTGCTGGTTGTAAATAAAGATATTGAAGATTTGCTTCAAACTCCTTTTGTTTGTTTCATTTCCAATCAATAAATCAGGTGGGATACCCAGATGATTCATTATTTCTGGATGCCTCCACCAGTCTGATGAAATCACAATGCCACACATCAGTAAACACGAGACGGTCTGCTGATTGCCACATTGTTTTGTGCAGCTCCCCAGTGTGGTCATGTATAAAGTTATATTGCAGTGTAATCAATGGAAAACGTCTATATGTAATCATATACTGAAGGGATATTTAATTCAGGCACAGTAAATGAGAAATCGTTGCTTCATGAGCTCTTGCATTGTAACTTCAAACTTTGTTTGAGATGCAGTAAACTGGGCCTGTACTGGTTCCAAAGCTCTGAAATTCCCACAACTGGTGCAGTAAGACGCAGGTGTTGACCCCAGTGCAGCTCTACATGCAATAAAACACCTGTTAAACACACACACACACACACACACACACACACAGCAGTGACATATATACTAAAGAGTAAAAAGATAATATCTTACAAGTTAAAATGCAATCTTGTTTTGTCAGCTGGTAGCTCCTTGTTGTTCCTGCTCCTTAATAGCCGATATGCCACGATTAGTGGTGACATACTTCTGTTCAAATTTAAGCCAAATGGATAATTTCCGGTTGCCTCTTGCTCCTGTTGCTTTTTAGCGATAGCTGCAAGAGCTGCACCATGGCTAATATATAACATCACACAGGTTAACAAAACACTTAACGTTTACATAAAACCTGTGTCAGACTGTCTATGTTAGACACATATGAGGTATTTTGGTGAACACATAACTTACCTTCGAAGCTCTTTATGAAGTTAGATACAAACAACTTAACTCCTTTGTCATTGTTGGAGCTTTTGAGGACATCTGGATAATTTTATAAATCTCATTAATAGTCCTGCAGTGACCGAGGAGCCATTGCTCACATACTGTTGCCTGGGCACCTGGAAGTGGTCTATGTGGCTAAAAAAGTGCTAGAACAGAAGTCCATGGCACATAGGCTATTTGAGTTTAATGTAGGTGATCCATTTGGCTCGTAGCAGAACGGATTGGATCATAGAGGTGTTTGACTTCCTGTGTGTGTGTCGCGGTGTATGAACGAGAAAGCTGCCAAATGTCAGAGCTGAACTCATTGCTGTACTGAGATCATCACCTGTGAGTAACTCCTAAATATTCTCTATTCACATGAAGCTTTATTAGAAAACGGTAGACAAATTTAAAATTATTTATTTCTGATAGAAGAGATAAAAGTCAGGACACTGACGTATGATAGGCTTAAAATAGCAAAACGAACAAGTGTAGGAGACGCGACCAGTGAAGAACTCCTTAAGAGGGTAGATAGTGTAAATACTTTGGTCTGGTGTAACTTTGGCCTTTATTTCTTTTTTATTTCTCTCTGTACAACAACTGATTTGGTTTTAGATAGATTCAGATGTGTTTGAGCTTAAAAAATGTCTCCATAATTGAAATATGTACAACAAATACAAGGAATCAGCTGACAGACTGTTTATTACCATTAAATGTTAAAAACACAAAAGCAATAAAGAATTGGATCAAAATTCAGTGGGATTTAATGGGTTGTTCCTGTTCATCGCTGCACTTACAACAAATCTGAAACATCAACTTTAATCAGCGGCGTTCTCTCCCTGACACTAATTTACGAGTGTTTCCATTTTTTTTTCAAAGTTATGACAACCAGAGAATTTCAAAATGTCAAAACCTATATGCCAAAAATAGACGCTCGTCTTTACATTGAAAGATCAGAACTTATGCAACTGGAATGCATATATTTTGCAATCAGTGGATAAAAAGGATGCTAAATATGTGCTAATCCTACAGCAGTAGTTCATACGTGAAGGTGAACAAACTTCAGCACATTTGATTTAAAAGTACATTAATCCTGGAGAGTGAAGCTCTTCTATGGAGGTTTTGTTGACTTTTATCTCCAGCTGCTGCTAATCGATTGAAAACGCTGCTGATAATGTGAAACCTGACTACTGTAATGTTGTTTAGTTTGTATTTAGAATAATAATTGTTTATCTGCATTTGAAAAAAAAATATTTGCAAACTAAATCCTGATCTGGGGAGCACATTTACTGAAGAAAACTGCAGAATATTCATGTACTTTTCTGAAGAGCAGAAGGTTATATAACTGATATTATCACCCTAATGACATTCTTGACAAAACGTGTCCCTAATGGCTCCTCCTGGCTCGATGTGCAAAAGCAATGAGATTAGAAATTATATACAGAGCATATTTTGTGTGATTTATGACACTAATAGGGTCATTAGGTCCATGCAGCGCTTGTATGAGTGTCACTGTTGGGTTTTATCGTAAACACACTGCTGGTTTGGAGCTTCTCGTGTAACTCCAGGGAAGGTTTAATAAGAATAAATTGAATAAATCCCAATATTCATGACCTCTGTGGGGAGAAAGCATCAGTGCGCCACGCAGGTCGAAGGTTTCATGAGCTGAAACTTTAAGCTGTTAACTGCAGGAGTTTGTTGCAAATGCAAAATACGTTGCAGCTTTTATACATTCTGACAGAAAAGGAACAAGAGTTCAGCTAAAGCCCTTAAACCTGGTGACAGCATAAAACTACCATTTAGTCCATCAAAAGCAACCATCCAGTTTGTATTTTTCTGGGAGATATTATGTCTTGGTGGGTCACAATAACAGATTTTAAAACAACAAAGCGAATCCGTTAAGTCGAATCATGTTCATTTTGGCGCCTGTGCTGCAAAACGAAGCATTTCTTCTGTTAAAAGTGTAAAAATAACAAATAACATCAACCAAATCCGCCCTTATATTGCTGATTTAGAGGGCTGATTACATTCATTACACTGAAAAAAATAATTTAAGAAATGAAAAATAAAACCTAAAGCCTGTATTGGTTGAGTTTTGTTGCTATCAGATGTGTAAAAAACTCCAGTGAGCAGAATAATCTGGATTTTTCTGTCTCGCTTCCTGGGATTTATGGCTGTGTTGGCGAATCATGGAGCCTTGACTTAAAACACTTTTTATTTAAAAATGCAGAAATAATGCATGAATTCTACTTTGTAGTGATCGTTTGTAAGGCTAAAAATATCTACGAATGTAATGAGATAACTATATGAAATAGTACTAAAAACCGTCCACACCTCTGTTTCGCTGTTTTTTTCCCCGAGGGAAATTGTCTCTGATCTGTTACGTAAATAAAAGTCTGTATTTTACTTTACTCTTCTTACTACAAATCTGATGCAGTGATCATAATCTTCAGAGGTGCTGTTTGTATTTTATCCTGTATATTAATTAAACTCCCAATATCTGTTACTGGGATTAGTGGACATGTTAGCGCTATGGCTTTAAAACAAAATAGAAAAAAAAATACATAACAAACTTTTAATTTTTCCCTTTTTGATTCATCAAATTAAGACATAAAAACATTTTTAGTGTTTGGCATTATGATGGTGAAAAGTCCCAAGACATGTCTTTACTAAAATCTTTTTGTATTTTCAGAGGCACTTAAACCGTAGCTGCTCCTTTCATTCTCGTTGTCCAACTCTGAATGTATAAATGCAGTTTGCTTCATCATAAGTGCATAAAATCTATGAATTAGGAGTCAAATCTCGCTTATGCTCTCTTGTCTCAAAAGTGTTAAGGTTCAGATGAGGATTTGGGATTATAAAATTGATTAAATTTAGCTTATTTGAAGAACTATTATCATTAAAAAGCCTTATTATAAGACATAGGCTTGTCATAAAAACCTTGGAGTCTATTAAAATTAAAAGATAAATCAAATTTAACATTTAATATAATTCCTTTGCTTTTTCAAGACATGAGCGCATTTGTAACATTGTAAGTTCCGTAAATGGAGGCTCTTTAAGGCTATGACAGCAAACTTTTGTTGCTTCACTTCCTTATTTGTCATATGATCTGATATATTGGGTAGTTTTGGGTGTTTTTTTGTCTCATTTTAGTTTTAGAAATGGTCAAATCTCCTCAGTGACCGCCACGTATGGACTGCAGGTGGATCAGATGAAATGCTGTAACGACAGTCGAAGTAAGGATTTAAGCTATTAGAGGCGTATTTTTTTGTTGCGGAGGAACAAATGTGTGCAATTTCCAAAATGCAGGAGAATATAATATGCCGTAAGGAGAAAAAGGCTCGTTATGTTCGTGTTCGCTGCAAACTAAACTGCTTCAAAAAGCCATTTGTGTGTTCCTCTATTGGGCTTTTAGTCAGTCTGAGGCCATATAATTGCAATATTTTATAATATATTACAATGGGGTGTCTTTGTATAAGCTGTCTGAAGCTTTTTTAGTCCAGTACCAAGTATTTTGTATCATATGTGCTGCAAAATTTTGTCTAAAGACAGAATAGATTCACTTTGATTTAAAAAAAGAGAAAAGTTATTGATTCTTTTTAAGAAATTACAATTACAATTATTAAAGATAATGCTTGTTCTCTCACAGTCGATATGTCGTCAGAAAGGATTATGTGTTTTTTGCGTGTGAAATAGCTCGGCGTGTTGATGGCTTGCGATAAAACTAAGATGAAGAGACTCTGCTTCATAATTTCAATGCAGTCCTGCAGGCATATCTGTCTTGGTGATGTTTTAGCATTTGTACTGCAGTATAACTTTTCCTGAGCTGTTTTTACATTCGGTCTGCTGACTGTGGGAAATCAGGATCATCAGATGCCTTCGTTGTCCTAAACTTCTGCTGTTTTGCTGATTTCTTTGATGTCCGTCCACTTACTGCACATAAACCTGAAAAACAGCAGTTCTTGATAAACTCTTGGCTTTGTGATGGATTAAAGTGGTACAGCTTTTATTCTGCACCATTTTAAAGAACAAAACCCCCTGAAATTTCTTCATTTCCTCTTGCTGGTTTTAATTCATCATTTCACCCAACGTTTATGTCTACTTTCGAGCCTTAATGTGCGTTTTTTTTCTTCTCTGCAGGCAATTACCAAGCTGTGTTTCCCTGTTATGAAAATATAACTGTCTATTCACTGGGGGTGTCCTCATATGAGACAACAGGATTCCCTTTTCATAGATTCATAATATCCTGCATTACTCAGTTCCCTTTTTCATTGTCTTTCACAAATGAACACACACACATACACACACATTCAGGCATTCAAAGCGAAACCGAAATTCATGAACTGGTGATTATCCCTCCTTCTTGTATTTCCATTTCAAGTTGTGTTTTCCATCAGGAGCCAAAACAGATCCGCTAATGTGATTTCACTTGCTTTTACTTCACCATAAAACAGCCGTTGTTGTGCAGGAAACCCAAGCACAAATTTGTGCCACATTCATGTTGAGCGCAGTGAGAAGCGGTGTTGTAGAATGGGAGTTTTAGGCATTTTAAACAAGCTGCCAGCTGGGCCGGGCCTGCAGGTGCAAACCGAAGCCCTGCCAAAGGATTTAAACATTTTAAAAACTGAATGTTCTCGATCTGTTCGGAGTCAAACGATCATGTGTTGAGGTGTTTTCCCTCCCTGTAAACTCCCCTCATGTGTAGCTGCAGGCCCACGTAGGTTTCACTCGTCGAAATCACTCGAGTTCACGTTTAAGTAAACTCCAGATTGTGATCAGACCTCAGACTCTGCTTGAGATAAGACTGTTTTTGAGACCGATGAGGTGCTGAACTGATATTATAGGGGCCCGTATCTTTATCAGTTGGGCGTTAAATGCTTCACTACAGGATGTGGGGCAAATTACAGGAAATAAGAGGTGATGGTGAAACTGGTCTGTTGGCCTTTAATGTTTCACAGGTGTGTTTCAGGCCACCAGCAGCAGAGCACCTGTCTGTTTGTAAGATAGTCCTTTGATTCATGATCGCGCTAAACGGATACGTCTGCATGTTTAACCACGTAGCATTAAAGCTGCCTTTTACATGAGCTCTACCAAAAGTCTTTACTGACTGAAGAAGTACTCTAAATCTGAACTGGAGGCGCTTCTTAACATCGTTAAAGCAATAGAAGAGCTGCAGGCTTAACTATAACAACCTTTTTTATCCTGCCATTTTACAAAAATTACACATTCAGAAAAATCTCTTTCTGATTTGTTTTGTTTCTGACCGTTGTTACTTCTGTCACTGCAAAAACACAAAATCTTACCAAGTATTTTTGTTCTAGTGTAAATATCTCAGTACATTTGAAATAAAACAAAACTAACTTACAATTAGCTTTTCAGCAAAATATAGGAGGTTATTTTGATTCAATAATTCCTTAATATTGATGAAAAAGTATTAGCTATAAGTGAAATAATCTCCCAGCGGAACAAGACATTTTGACTTATAGCTAGTTCTTTTTCATCAACATTAAGAAATTATTGACTTAAAGCAAACTCCTACATTTGCTGAAAAGCTACTTGTAAGTTAGTTTTGTCTTATTTCTAATCTATTTGCAGTAGAAAATAATGTAGACATAGAAAATACTTGGTAAGATTTTGTGTTTTTCCAGTGAATTCTCAGATGGTTTATGGCTTTAAGAAAAATTATTCTCCTGAGCTGAGATGTTTGAAAACGCTTCAGGACGGCTGCAATATGGATGGATATAACGCGTCTCCTGTGGATTTAGTAATATTTGTGTAGCAGATTAAACATATCGCCTTTGAACTGTTGAGGGTAAAATTACATTTTCGTCTTTACTTTTTCAAGCATTCACTCTGTTTCTGTCTCCAACGTCAACATCACTAAAACTGCAAACCACTCTAAGTCTCTTCAGTATGCAACATGAAGAATAAAGGCTTTGTGTATAAACAAGCAAATAAAACAGTATTCATTAGGAGGATGAAGGCTGGAGCTTTAATTAGTTTTTTATTTGAGGACATTAAGGGGCGAATCGACTTGGTTCAGTGGCACTTACTTTCTCTGCAGACGCACTGCTCTCCGTCTTCTCTAATATAATGTGTAATTACTCTGAAACAATGAGAGAAAGAAAAAAGAACATCTGTTTACATGACATTGTCATATTGCACGCTTCTGCACCTGTGAATTTGTGGACACTGAACTTTGAGATCGTCCAAATGAAGGACAATAGTTATGCAGAAGAAATTTTTATTTTGATAAATTTTTACTTTGTATTAAAGAACAAAACCTTTAAGATCACTGCAATACTCTTGACAACTTCTGCCTCCACGTAGATGGACACATCCATACGGAAACATACACACAAAACGTATATATATATATATATATATATATATATATATATATATATATATATATATATATATATATATATATATATATACATATATATATAAGTTCACACAAAAAATTATAAGTTGGCTCTATTCTGATCACAGCAGATTTCTTCTATAAAAAGAGTTGTTTGCTTGATTGTTAATATTTAAAATTTAAACACACAATAATCCACATCTGGCTCAGATCGGAGCTCATCATTGACGAGAAATCAACAAATACCAGCAGAAACCTGCAAGAAGCTGCTCAGAAATATAGACATCGGCTATTTTTAAAGACTTCTTTAATTAATTATAAAGAAGTATAAATATATTTTTTATTACATTGCAAATCAGTTTTCTGTTTCTATTCCCCTAGATTTGATGCACCTTTTACTTTGCTCTAGTATCTTTTGAGAGATGCTTATCTGATTTCTCATCAGAAACAAATTTCTTGAAGGAATAAAAATTTAATAAATTCAAAATCTGCTGCTGGGGGTGTGAAAGGTTTTGGGTTTAAATGCAGCTATTGAAATACAGATTGTAACTCTGCTGAATGCTTTATATGTTTTGCAGTCATTTGCCAGATTAAAGGAACATTTTGAAATAACAACCTTTAATCAGGTATTAAACATACATTTCATTAAGACCACAGTTTTGCATTGAAAATATTGTTTATATTAGTCTGATGTAGTATTCTAATCTAGGATGGGATTTCATAAGCTATAAGCAGAAAATCACTATAATTTAGAGAGAAATTTGAGAAAAAAATATTTCAGTTAGTGAATTGAGTTACTGAAATAAATCAACTATTCAATATTCTAATTATTGAATATGGTTGTATGTAGTGTAATATATAGTTAATCGAGGACAGAAGGGAGACATTTCAAAACAAAAAGACAAAAATGCTTTTCAGGAATGACAGAACGCGTTTTCGTGCTACGATGTGTGACGTTTATGCTCCATTTAAGATACGGCTCAAATTAGAAAGAAATATAGGGAAATTTCTGATACAGGGGTAGAAATTGATATACAAAATAAGTTTAACTCTTCTTTCACAGCTTAATTTAATCCAATGGCAGAAATATCCCAACATATTTTTATAGCAGACTGATATTATTAAGTAAAGCAGAATATTAATGAAACCAACATCATAGTTAGTTTGTTTTTAACCCTGTATTTTTACATACATTGTTCATCTTTAAATGCATTTTGTTTAAAACACCTTACACTTTGTTTACTTTCACAGTGTAACCTAAGAACATAATAAGATGCCAACACCAAAAATAAACATTCTGGGATTTTTTTACTTATTTTTCCATACATGTCAGTTTTTGTTTCTATTTCAGTAGCCATATTAGAATTTTTACATGAGTTGGCATAAAAAGATGAATACGTATCTTGATTATTTACAGGAATATAGCAGCGATTTTTGATGCACAAACAGTAAATGATACAGACAGAGCAGAATGTAGGCAGAGCAAGTTTTCCATGGCAAACTAACGTCATCAATAACCTCTGTCATCATTAGCCAATCGCAGATCAAATGGCAGAATGTAGGTTTCTGTCTTAACCACAGTGCATGTAATAAACTGGAGATGCAACGTGCCTCACTGAGGAGAATACCTTGTACGTGAAACCATTTTAAATGACTGAACTGGTGAACCTGTGTGTAAAAGTTGAACTCAGCAGTCTGGGAGCTCATACAAGAACAAACTTTTAAGTGTTTTTTTGTGATTTCAGTGATGATGAGGCACGTAATCATACAGACATATTCTGCCATTTTAGTGTTTTTGTTCCTCAGAACTTACAGTTGGATTAAATTAACTGTGGATTCAGTTTTTCTTCTTCAGTAGACTGAAGCTTATTTTTCTTTAGATGATTAGATTTGGGGTTTTACTTTGACTCTTCCTTCCTTTGAGCTTATTTCTGTTGTAATTAATCTTTTCTATCAAACTGTACACTTTAATATATTTTTTTGGATGGGGGTCATATTCATCAAGTTGAACATAATTGTGAAGTGGAAGATAATGGATAAATTGTTTTCAACAATTTTACAAATGAAAACCTGAAAAGTGTGACGCACATTTGTGTTCAGACCCTTTTCTACTCATAGATCTAAATAAACCCCCGTATAAAAACCAAATTAGTAAACAAAAGACATGCCTGTAATTTAATTCCAGTGGAATCTGTTCCAGATTCCAGCTGCTGATGTCTGAGATTTGTTAGATAACATTAGTGAACAAAGATCATCTCAAAGAAAAAGGAACAGCAGAAACGTTAAAGGATGCAGGCTAGGTTTTAAACGTTTAGAGACGTTTAATGCCAGGCTAGGTTAGCTAAGCTTTTAGCATCTCAGGGATTGCTTTTCACTCTATCATCTGAACACGTAAACAGCATGGCGCACATCCAAATCTATTATTAGGTCCATATTACAGTAACCTGACAGTAGCTGCAGAGATCTAAGTCTTTAAAATGATCAATTAGGAAAATTCACATTTTCTCAAAATTCTCTTTTATGTCTTAGCTGCTTCTAAAAACATTCGAAGCACTTATAAAAACCAGGGTGGTTTATATAAGCGCTTACATAAAATTTATTTACATTTTATTAAATGTTTTTTGTTGTTGTTGTTTTGTTTTAACCAATAAGTTTACGTTTTAAAATTAGCCGTTTAAAAAAAGCTACCGTTTGTTCAGTAACAATCAAAGGGCACGGAGCCGTTACCTAGCAACCACAGCCGACCCCAGCTGGGGTTGCTAGCTGAGCTCGGCTAGCAACCCCAGCCAGGTCCAGGAGTTTTTCTCAGCAGGTTTTACCGCTATTTGCGCTGTAAAATTTCTGCTGGAAAAGACAAGTGTTTTGCTGTTGTCTTACCATTCAGAAAAGATGTTTGTGTAATGTTTAAAGATGGTTGTATAATTGATTGCGCATCTGTTTGCAGCCATTTTCACGGCCAATGTAAACGTTGAGTTGGGGGCGTGGCCAGGAGCAGCTTATTTGGATTTAAAGTGACAAGAGACCTTAAAACAGCTCATTCTGAAAGGAACCCAAAATATTAAAAACTGGCTACGCTAGACTAAAATCTCATTATTGAAGAAAAAAAAATGGAATGAAAATGTTTTGCATAGCTTATACCATACCATACCATACCAACTTTATTTATAAAGCACTTTAAAACAACCACAGCTGATACAAAGTGCTGTACATTAAAACACAACATAACAATAAATAATAATAATAATAAAATAGAAACTCTTACAGTTTATAAACAAACAAACAAACAAACATACAATTTAAAACTAGATCCCGCTGGAGTTGAAAGCCAAGTAAAATAGATGGGTTTTAAGACGAGCTTTAAAACGCTACAGACCTATCCTAACCAATTCATGGAAGCATAATCTGTTTGTAGTTTAGGGACAGAGCAAACATGTGGAAGAACATGCTCTAGACTCATTTAAATGAGTTTAAAATGTCATATCTTAAGCACAAAACATAACATAGCTGTACTCATCACCTTGAAAATACCATCTCCATTTAGAAACATAGTGGTGACAGGATCATGCTGTGGGAATACTTTCTTTCAGTAGGCCAAGGGAAGCTATTTAGAGTTGATGGAAGATGGGTGACGCTAAACACAGGACAATAATATAGGAAAACATGTTAGAGGCTGCCAAACATTTAAGCTAGAAGCGAAGGTTCAGGTTCCAGTAGAACAACAACAACCATAAACATACAGCAGAGATACTATGGAACGATTTAATTTAGATGGTATAGTGGCTCAGTCAAAGTTCAGAAAAAAAAATTAAGTGAGAATCTGTAGGAAATACTTCATGTTAAAAGAAGATCCCCTAAATATCTGACTGAGAATTAGCTATTTTATGAAGAACAACAAGGAGCTTGAGTCTGAAAGTTTTGGCTAAGGGAAGCTAAATACAAATTCACATTACACTTTTTGAACAAGAAACATTGAACATCTGCTTGATACTGTACTCTGATTTATTGTAATCCTGTTTGTGTTATAAACTACTCTGTCAAAAACAAGGAGCCTGTATTTCCATTCTGACGAAGTGATCACAGAGCAGCCTACTAACCAAAAATAACATCACAGATGAAGAAGAAATGAGTGGGAGAGACCGTAAACTTTTCTGTCCTCATCCCCTGTTTCACAATGTTGAGGTTTCAAACAAGCTTGAATGAAGTTCCCCTCCATCAGCTAAAAGACAAAAATGTTTTCAGTCTCTGAGCAGAATGTCACTTGTTTTTCATTCTCTTTTCCACTGACATTTTGTGCATTGACACATCTGAAGTGTTGCAGAGAATGAAACATTTCGCTCTTTTCCACTGGGCCTCACAGCATCCACCGGCTGTTTATTTGTTTAAATTAGCTTTAACCCAAAATGGTTATTCTGAATGCAAAATAACAGAAGAAAACCTGAGATCGATCGCTGAGGGAAACCCTCAGAAGGAGAACCCGGGGGATGAGCAGAGTGAAAAATGTGAATCATTCCTTGTTTTTTGATCGTGTCCCACACTGGGTCTTTCTTTCTTTCGGTAATGACACGTTGTGATACGCACACCCTCGTTAGGTGAGTGACTAACGAGGGAGTCCTCACTTTCAGGTGTTTTCCGTTAAAATCATGAATCGACAGAGAGGAACGCCACGCTTTTCCCCCAGTGTTTTTAAACAAATTTGTACCCAGGCTCTCTTTAAGGTCGGTTTATTATTTACAGGAGACG